TTTTACTGTCCTTTTAAAAGTCAACATTTTACAAATTATATCAATTAATGACCTTGTCATCAAGAACAATGTTTTATTAAGTCGAATATTGGGTCAAATTTTCAGCATAAAATAAAACACTAGAGAATTACATGCTTTCTGGTTATAGATCCTCTGCTTTAAAACTCGTAAAAGGTACGAATTTTAGGATTGTGCAATTGGGTTTTAAAAGCTGAACACCACTCGTAAACAGGCATATGCACAATGACTGCATATGTGATGGTAAACATTTTATTTTATCAATTCGTAGCTACGAAATAAAAATTCGAGCCAACAAAATATATTTATATAAATTCTTAAGCCATTATATACAAACTGAATTGTAAAAGGACTTTTTGGGAGTTGAACTTTGTTCAATCTCCCATGGTCATCACGTATTTAACATGCGCAGTAATTTGTGTTGATTATATAGAGCCGAAAGCGAGGCTACTGTTTCGCCCGATTTATGATATTCAACAGAAAACATACATAAACATCCGCCACAAATAGTTCATGTCATTTTCTCCTGAATTGATCTAATTTTCATAATTTGAAATGTAAGAAAATGTAACGATAAAGTAATCTTATTTTGAATATAAGATTTCCTTAAAAATAAAACTAAATTATAAAGAACCTCAAAAGTTTTTCGTAATGGAACTCATTTTCAGTCTAGCGTCATACACTGAAAGAGATACGAACGACAACTCTACATACTGACGGCAAGCGGTGAATCTAGTCTTCTCAACGCCCGGCGTTCCCGGATTTTTAGCAATATCTTTTTTACTGGTGCAGATAATTTATTCAAACTTTTCATGAACATTTCCTTGGTTTAAATTAATTCATTAATGCATTAAAACTTTTGGAAATATGCGTATTTATTAGTAAATCAGGAGTATCACCTTCCAAAAGCGTTACATCTAGTACTCTGTTATAAATGTTACTAGTAAAACGAAAAACGGACACCCATGTTTTCGTAAAATTGCAATTAAAAGCAACAACATGAAGTATATTTTTTTAATAAAAGGAAAACCTCATTTACATACCAGATAATTTGTACGCACACAAACTCTCACATATACCACTGTTTTTATGTTTGGTCATTAAATATTTGTTTTTAACTTGGTATTGCGTTTTTCTTCACAATATTAAAAAAGATTAAGTTCTGACGTACTCCATGTATAATGTTCGTGTAACTGAAATACATTTATATTCACAGAGAAGTTTTATATAACAAACCTGTTAGCTCTTAAAAGGATGCTGTGTTAAAATCCACATTATATCAATATTGATATTATTTCTGCGAAACTGAAATTTTCGTAACATACGGGTAAAGGTGCCAAGGAAAAATATATAACAAAGAAGAAGGTATGGTTTCCATACAGATTTTGCCCTGTGATTTTCTAAAAAATGAATCTGGTGTAAAAGTTGAAAACACATGCTTTTTAAATAATTGAAATTCAGTGCAGAAAAATCATACAAATTATTTTTCTCACATGTGCTTTTAAATGCTAATTATGACTTCATAAACATGTGCATTTTCCCGAATTTTCTTAAAAAGTTGCAGAAAACACCAATTTTTTAATGGAATTTTCTTTCAGATAACATTGTCCACAGGCATCGCCCACAAAGATCTTGAGATATGTGATTTGTTATTGAATTTTGCACAAAATATCAAAAAATTAACGTGGGCGACGGCTGTGGACACTGTTTTCTAAAGGAAAATCACCCTTGAAATGTGCCATTTTGAGGCTTTTTCTGTTGAAAATTGAGAAATGCTTCACATTGATGACGTCATATTAGCAGAATGGTAAACCTTCATGCCATATTCTTTCCTGATTTATGAAAGTGATTTTTTTAAACTAATATTTAAGCCAGTTTCAAAACTTTTTTATGTCATCACATTTTAAGGGCACAATAAAGCTAAAACTATAACTTCCTCTTTGAAGACTGCATGTGAGCAATGAATTCTATAAATGATCAACCGCCTCTAATATGAATATGTTTTGCAATGGGAAACCGAAATTATGTGTAGGATGAAAAAGTAATAGAAGGTGCACAACAGCAATTATAATAAAGATTCTATGAAAATTTCGTTCAGTGGTGTAAGAGGAGTTGCGGATAAGAGATGGGTATACCTAAAGCGTAACAAACAGATGGACGGAATTCCCGATCAATAAATACCCTCCCGCTTTTCAAGCAGGGGGTATGAAAAAGGATTAATGTAGGCAGGCAAGCATTATGGCCCATTCATTCAATGTCTCTGAATGTCTTTCTCAAGATTGTTGCAACACAAAAAATTTGAAACAGTTGTCTTACTCACTTAACCTCCCGATCAAAGATTTTGTTATACACCATGTTCAACTCCCATGAGTGCGTTCAGTACTTTGATCTGTTATTTCTCGACCACGACCAAGAGCACACAGCAGATGTGACTAGTCAGCAAGGTGTGTTCAATCTTCCATGGCACCTGATCAGACCTCTGATGTTTAAGAGGTCCATGTTTGCTTAGCTCCATTTTTTTAAAGTTTAATGGACTTTGAGATTGAATACTGTCGGTTACTACGTATCTTTGATTTGATTTTTTTTATAATGATTTTAATCCGTGTGGGCCAGATATACTTTTATCTGTATTTTTTCCACATTGACGCCAATGTTTTAGTGATCATGATTTATAGGTTGTATCCATGACTTTTTTCTTGGCTATTAATTTTTATTTTGTGACCAGGAATTCTATCTGAAACTCTTCAACGATTTCAAAATTTCGAAAAGCCCGCGCTATTGAAAATATTTCGCATCAAATTAAGCATTCAGCAGTGTATGCGCACAAATTGTTATGTCCCGATTATCCCCATAAAGCAAAATTAATATACTCTCTGTTTCAGTTTAATTTTCAAGCTAAACTATCAATCATCAACAATCATTTATTAATGATATTAAGCTTATGGTAAAAAATTCTATAATAAGAATATGTGCGTCTCATTTTCCTCTTTTAATTCGACTTCAAGATAATTGTTGTTCTCAGAAACACCAATGAAGTAATTCATTTCTTCAATTAGGGAAGTGAACTTCTGAATAACATTTTTTTAAGTTCACTTCCTGAAAGGACGAAGTTAATGCCTTCATTCGTACATCGGAGAGCAAACATATTAAATTCAAATCGAAGAAAGAGAATGTGACCCACACGTATGCTAATTATAGATTGTTGGAATTTAAGCATATCATTTATAAAGAAAAAACAGATTTTTAGTCATGCATCTTTAGGTAATTGTATCAGAAAAATGCCCGTATGTACTTGCATTATGAAAGATTTACATGAAACTCTCAGTATATAAATAAAAAAAAATACATGTATTCCGATGTGTTTGTCAACAGTTAAATTTGTATGGAATAATTAAATTTGATTGGCCATCACAAAAATTCGTAAACAGTTCTGTGAAAAGAAAAATAGCCTAACAATTGTTATGAGAAACGTCAGTCCACATTACACTTTTAAATAAATCATGTTTTTTTTACTTGAAATCCCACTTCTAATATTGGACACCTGGCGAAAGATCAGTTAGCGCAGATGTTGGTTTGAATTAGGGTGAATGAGAATTAATCCACGCCCTTAACCACTACGACCGATCCAAATATCATGTCGTCTACCTCCCCATCTTATTGGACAAACAAAAGCATATTCCGTCGAGTACGATCAGTTTATGAACCGTGGGAGGCTGCTGACATATAGCTTGATGTTACCGGGATTTCAACTTCCTCGTTTAAATTCGTCATTTTGTTAATTCCATGGTTGTTATATCGATCTTGATCTTATATATTGTTTATCTACCCTAATTACACGGCTTATAATAGAATTAAGTTTTTTTTTCTATTATTAAACACCTTTATTTGGAATACATGTTTGTGTTAAAATAATCCATATAAAGCATATTTAAAATGAGTTAACGCTTAAATATTGTTTTTTCTGTATGTTTTTCACGTACATTAATTATTTAATTGCACCGGTCACATTGATTATACTAATATATATGCTTAGGGTTCTATATGATTAAAAACTGCCTTCTATCACATCAAATCTTGTTGACCCAGTCAAGTATCGTGCATTTGCATTTAATTATGGATTTCTTTTCTAGGGACCGTTCACGGCAGCTCAGTCGGTAGAGCGCTCGCTCCGTGATCGAGAGGTCGTGAGTTCGTATCTCGGCCGCGACTGATCTTGTCGATAAAATTGGTAGCAACTGTTCCTTCGCAATGCGCTAGGCACTTCGAAGTGAAAGTCGCGGGTCCTTCGGATGAGACCTTAAAAACCGAGGCCCAGTGTCAGCGGCGGGCGTTGGCACATTAAAGGTCCCTCACTGCTCAATGGAACTGAGAGCCGAGTAAAGGTAAAAATTTGTAACCCTTCACAGGCATACGGTGACGTCTCCATATGAGTGAAAAATTCTCGAGAGGTAGTTAAAAAATATACAATCAATCAATCTAGGGAAACTAATTCTTGGTCAAGCATGAACAACAATTTTTCACTTTCTCATATAGGGATACTCATTCCTCCATGGCACCTGATCCCACCTCTGATGTTTCAGAGGTCCGTGTTTGCTCTGCTCCTATTTTGTATTGTTTTGTGGACTGTGATATTGAATTTTGTTCATTATCTCCACATCCTTCTCATAAAATCAATTTTACGAGGAAAATCAGGATCATATCAATAGATCTAGAATTATTAACATTTTTAAGATTCTCTCTCTCTCTCTCTCTCTCTCTCTCTCTCTCTTTCTCTCTCTTTCTTTCTGTATTCTAAGTTGCGTTATCTTATGTACAGTTAATCATACTTAAATTTTCTATAAAAATTCTAACAAAAAATTTAATGTTTCGCCTTTAGGAAGATATCAATAATACCAGTCATCAATGTATTTATTTAAGAACTGTGTAAACCTTTAATTACATGTAGCATTTTAATGTTTAATGTTAAAACATGTAAATGGAATATGCAAGATATTACAGGATACTTTACAAATTTATTTTCAGTCAGAATATGCATGTACAGAGGCAAGGAGCAAGTGTTAATCCTTTGCAGTTGCATTCTCTCCTTCTAGATAGAACTGGTTTTCTAAAAAGTCATCAGCAAACATAAGTGCTTGGTGTAATGCACCTAAAGCCAGAATGTTTATGTTAGTTTGAAGTTTTGTTTCCTTTTCATAATTTTTAACCGGAAGAACATGAGATCTCGGAATTGCAATGACGTCAGCAGCTTTGTTGACAGCGTCCTCTACAACTTCACTCAGGAACATATTGCTGACGTCATTCTCCACCAGAGGACAGATCTTGTCCATCTTCGTCAGAAACACTAACTGAGGTATGTCTGATTTAATAAATATAACAAAATTAATAGAGTACAATGAAATAGTCGGAATTTGGTATATTCTATCTGATAGCAAGTTCTCGTATTATACAAATATGGACTCAATGTAGGTCAATATGCATTTATAATGACCCAGGATGACAGATATTGACCGAAGATACATGAAGTATATCGACCGAGGGCGCTAGCCCGAGGTCGATATACTTCGTGTATCTTCGGTCAATATCTGTCATCCTGGGTCATTATAAATGCATATTGACCATGCATTGAGTCCATATTTATTATATTATATAAATAATAATTTCTAAAATTTATTAGTACAATGTATATCTTCCTAAACTTACAGAGATAGTATTAACCATAAATAAGTTGAATGTAAATTTTTCAGAATTCATTGAATATTACTCAGAGGAAATTGTTTCGGTAATAAATTTTAACCCATATCATAATAATAATGCAAGATATCTATCTCCGAATAACACAGAGTACCCCCTCCCCCAGATTGAGAATCGCACTCGTTTACACTTGTAGAGAAATGCACTGACAAAATATAAATACCTATGTCTTCTAACATAAGATACAGTCTTACATGGCATGCTTGTCTTTATTTTCTTTAGTCGCCGTATTAAATCGCGTAAACAGCGTCAAAATTCTGCTCGACGAGTGGAAAAGTCGAACTCAACCATGAAATGGTATGTGCTAAGTATTCCCGAAAAATATTCACAGATATCCTTGTAATTGTTTTGTATTATCAGCCTCAGAGTTCTTCACTATATCTTTTAAATTTTCCTCACCTACAACTTGCGAACTTCCATGTTTGTCTAAAGCGAAAGTGAAAACGAGGCAGCTCGTGCGAGTCATTATTCGCGTTCAGCGGTCGTTATTAAAAAATAAGTACTTCGTATTGACCAATCAGATTACCGGATTTCACAAAGTTATATAATATAATAAGATAACACATACATATCAGAACATTAATTTAGAAGGTACAAATATCCAGAAATACTCGTAGTTCGGAATTGAAAAATTGATAAATAAGTTTTGCAAAATTTGTTTAATTTTATTCATTTTGTAGAATATATAGAACATATTTAAAACGTACCCCTTTCCACTACGTTAGCCTTGATGTCTTTTAGTTTTTTAGTGATGCCTTCCGATAGAACATCAAGTGTACTTCCGTCAATAACAAACACAACAACGTGCATTCTCTCTTTTAAAGTCGGATATTTGATGAAACCGTGAACTTTTGAGGATGCTTTCTCAGCAGGATTAAACTGAAAAACAAAATGTTCAGCTGTTAATGAAATGCAGTGTATGTACAGATTAAAATTTGCTATTTCATTTATATCATAGAAGTAGCATGAAAATTTTTTATTAGTTTGGGAAATTTTCAATATGAAGATAATAGATATTTAAAAGACTATACAATCTGTGAACTGGCTTAAAACATTTCATACATGTGTTTTTTATACGTTTTTTCGAACATAATGTACGTCATTTATTTGCCTTCTCCTTTTATTTCATACCAAAACATAAGCAAAACTTCATATGTTTTAAGAGTCTGAATATCGAATACCGGGTATCAGAAATGTAATATCCTACATTAAATGTTGTGTCGAAAATTAAAGGAAAATGTGGAACGAACTTAAAACACCCATCGGATTATCTGCCTGCTAGCTGAGAAAATTTGAGTACAATAATTTATTTATTAAATCATCAAAAATGCAGTTTCATAGTTTAAAATATGCCTGATAGAAACCTTGAGTATAACCACTCCCACGGAGTGTGAGAATTTCATCAGTGTCAATACAGAATAATATTCTAACTTTCATTAATCTCTTAATGATTGACTGTATATTGTTTTATCTCCCATTCAAAAATATGTGTGTTTCACTCATATAGAGACGTCACCATGTACGAGGGGCTTCAAATTCTAACCAATACCATATGTAATTAAAAGCATATTTAAATGTTAATATCAAAACAAAATCTCATACAGTATAGTGGTTAGGCAGATTCCCATCCAGAATGAATGCTAGATCTTCATTCTTTATAGACAGCCCCTCCTCCACTCCCCTAGTGTCACAAATCCTCAGTTTCAAAAATCTCTTAGTTGCTGGATCTCGAATTTGAAACTTTTCAAACTGTTTAAAGCAATTGAAAGATTTTTCAAACTGTGTTACATGTACAGCTTGAAACCATAAAATGTCACTTTTGTACATCGATATTAAATTTACAGCCAAACTTAGCATAAAAGCAGAATTTTAGCGAGGATATAATTTTGGCATTATATAAGCGAGAGTGTCAGATCGCTTCTCTTAATCAATTGCGTTTAATTTGAATAGCTGTTTTAAAATTGCTAAAATAACATCTCACTTGAAAGAAAATGCCATTTTTAAGGGGAAAAATTTCCACTTATACGGTTAAACTTCTTACACTCTTAGTTAAGCTGGTTTCAGCGCTTCCAGTACAAGCCCGGGATGATATGGTTCCTTTGAAGATTGAATTGATGGTGTTCAGAATGCTGGATTTCCCAGACCCAACCTGACCTATCAGTAAGACGTTGGCCTCTGGAACATCCGACTCCTCAAACGGTTCATATGTTGTTATTTTCTCCTTCAATTCATTAAAAGTCTGTACAAATGGAATTCCATTTTTGATAAATTGATATGAATAATATAGAATACGTTTATAAAAGCTATATAATGACTTTTTTAAGTCACGTGGTTTTTCGCAAAAAAGGTATATATATATATATATATATATATATATATATATATATATATATATATATATATATATATATATATATATATATATATATATATATATATATATATATCCAAATTTGAAAATTTCACAGTGTCCGGTTTTTATATAGGTAAAATTAAAATAAAAAAGGCAACACAGATTAAAACGTTAGCGCTTTCATTACATCTTCAGACGTTTTACAAATGCATACTTTATCTTGACTGCAATGTCTTACAAAACTATTAATACTTTAAAAATCATTATCTATAATTGAATCTGACAACAAACAATTAAATGCTTGCAGTTTGCTCACACCTTTGAAACCAAATCCGACATGTGTTTATACTCTTAGCCGGAGAACATTGAAAGGTTACACTTTGTGTGAAAGTTTTGTCAGAAATCAAATTAAATCAAACTGTTAAGACTCGGATTAAATTTTTGAATGAAATATTTCTCTTTTTCTCTTCTTTCTGTTATATTGTCTTGAAAAAGTTTATAAAAAGGGAAAACTTTAAATTGTCCTTGTCCGCATCTATCAATGTGTTCGCTGAGTTTGATCTTACGGTACTCAGGAACTTGAATATGCTGTTTATGCACGCGAATTCTGGCTCTCAATGTGGTCCCCGTTTCACCGATGTAGAATTGGTTGCATCCTCCGCAAGTAATAACATATATTAAATTTTTGGACTCACATGTCATGTCTGAATTAATAAAGAAATCTTTTCCTTTGAAATTAAATGACGTTCCTTCTCTTAAAACAGAACATGTGCCACATCGCGGATCTTTACACTTTGTCACGGATTTTGTAGATTTCGTTATTTTGGAAGGACAGAGTATTCTTCTGAGGTTTTTGGGCTGCCTTTTGCTGTTTATAAACTTGAATTTTGAAAGAACATTAGACATTTCTTCATCCGTTTTGAGAATTTCGTTCAGATTTTGAACGATAGGTGTAACATTTTGGTTGTTAGGATTGTAAGTTGTGACTAGTGGTAATATTTTAATATTTTCCTCATCATTAGGAGTTGGATTAATTAATTCTTCTCTGTCTAATTCCTTTGCTTTTCTGATGCCGTCGTTGATTAAGCTTAAAGGATAATGTTGGTCTGTGAGATATATTTTCAATTCATCCAGACGTTGATTTTTGGTTTCCTCCTCACTTACTATTGTGCATATTCGTCGGGCTAGGTTGTAAGGTATTGCTCTTTTAATGTGTCGTGGGTGGGAAGATCCAAAATGCAAATATTGATGAGTGTCAGTACTCTTATAAAATATATCTGTTGCAATTTTGTTGTTTTCCTTACAGATTAATACATCTAAAAATGGTAATTGAGTAGAACTTTTTTCCATTGTAAATTTAATATCTGGGTCTAATTCATTTAAAATATCATTTAAAATGTTCAAATCTGAATCATCTTTTTTCCATATAATAAAACAATCATCCAGATATCTTTTCCAGTTTCTCTTAAGATATTCACAAAAATCTGCATCAAACTGTTCATTAGTTTTTTCATATAGTGCTTCTTCTAGGTATCCAAGGGTAAGAGTTGCATATGTAGGGGCCATTTTGGTACCCATGGCTGTACCTTTCACTTGATGAAAATATTTTTCATTGAAAGTAAACACATTGTTCTTTAAAACTAATTCAGTGGCTTCCAATAAAAATTCTTTTGTAAACCGGTTGTCAATTTCATTTCTGTAATTTTCAATCCAAAAATTTAAAGCCTTGATTCCTAAGGTACTGGTTATATTGGTGTACAGATTTACCACATCTAAAGTTACAAGCTGTGTATTAAAATCGACCTGTTTAGGTAGATGTCGTAAAAAATCTAAATCGTCCCGGACAAAACTTTTAACGTGTTGACAGAGAGGTTTCAACACTATATCTAGTAGATTGCTGAGACGTTGGGTAGGTGCTTCGGGTCCTCCAACAATCGGTCGGAATGTTAGATCTTGTGGATTTTCACAAACAATATATTCGGCGTTTTGTTTTTTTATAGCTTCTTTGATTAATTTTGATTTGTGTATTTTAGGTAGCCCATAGAAACAACTTTCCTTATAGTCAAAATTAGTTACAAAATCTTCCTCCTTTTCTGTTAATACTGAGGAGTGTTTATGTAACAATTTCTTAATTTTTTGCATAGCTTTTTTGTCCTGGTTTTCAGCAACTTCTGTGTAGAATTCTGTATTGGAAAGCATATGTGTTATCTTTCTTTCATAGTAAGCTGCGTTCATAATAACCACGGCTCCTCCTTTATCAGCTTCTTTAATGATGATGGTTTTATCGCTTGCTAAGGATCGTAAAGCTTTCTCCTCGTTTTTGGACAAGTTATTTCTTACTGATTTATTATGTGTGGTATCAAGTGTTAAACTTTGAAGAGTTTCACACACAGTATCTAACATACCATTTCGTCCTTTTTTGGGATTGAAATTAGATTTATTTCTAACTAAATCCTCCGGTTCATTTGAATCCGATTCATCACTCTCTGTGGTGTTAAAGTATTCTGCTAGTCGTAATCTACGTGTGTATTCTTTAATATCTTTTTTTAACTCTTGCTTATTACTATTAGGAGTCGGTGTATATTTCAATCCCTTTGACAAAAGTTTTATTTCCCATTCATTTAGTTGTTTACTAGACAAATTGATCACTTTTGGTTCCACGCGTTTTTCATTTGTTGATGATACTGGAATCTCTGTCCGCTGTTCGGTTTGCCGCCGCCTAAAAAATACTTGTTAACTCTTTTTCCAATGTAGGTGATCCCATTTTTCTTGTAGGTATTTTCTTGGAAGTTATTTTGCATTCCATAACCGTTTCCGTATTTGTTATTGAAATGATTAAGTTCACCCTTTCTCCATGATTGTGTGTTGTTGCTTTTTCTCTTATCAAAATTATGGTAATGTGGTTTGCTGTTTTGTTTTCCTACATACCTTTTTTGTTCTTGATATTGTACTATATGCTTCTGTCGTCTAGGTTTTGTTGGCCTGTTATTGTTTTTTTGGTGAAAATTTTGACGGACAACGTCAGCAAAACTGGCTTCGCTTTTTGTCGATTTGTTTGACAATTTTCCGTTTGGTTTAGGTTTCTTTTGACTCCTTTCTTTGACTATGTTGTTACCAAATTTTCTTACGTAATCTAATTGCCATATTTCCTTCATCCTCCACCTATCATGTGCTCGTTTTTCCCTTTTCTCGCAATCGGATTTCCACATATCTTCCAGGATTTCTAATATTCTTCCGCTTGCTTTCTTCTTTAGTTCATTTTTCATTTGTTCGTCAATTTGAAGAACTTTCTCCTGTGAATTTGTAGACCTCATGCGGAGCAGTTGTATCTCTCCTTTAACTCTATCCATAGCCATATTAGCTCGGATATTTTTCTGATCCTCTGGTTCTCCGTATATTTCCGCTATTCTAAATTTTCTAGGTAGGATTGGGTTTTCTTCTCCGAGCCATTTTTCATATTGGATTGCATCATTGGCATTGTTAATTGTTTTCCAAAAGACTTGTGATCTTGAGTTGAGTTCCCTATTCCATTCAACTTTCATTTTTTGCTTAATTTTGTCTGCCTCTTTTTGCAGTGCAAGCTCATTAATTTCTTGTTGGATTATTTCACTTGGTGAATGATAATTCATCCAATTTTCTCCTACATTTACAGATTTTACAAATGTTTCAGTGTTGTCACTGTTCTCCGTACGATTTTCACATACCTTGATCAGATCTCTCAGTAGATCATTGGTTGTATCCATTTTCTCTCCTATGTTACTCATCGTTTCAAGGATGTTGAAAAGAATACCTTCTGTATTAAAACGGATGAAGAAATGTCTAATGTTCTTTCAAAATTCAAGTTTATAAACAGCAAAAGGCAGCCCAAAAACCTCAGAAGAATACTCTGTCCTTCCAAAATAACGAAATCTACAAAATCCGTGACAAAGTGTAAAGATCCGCGATGTGGCACATGTTCTGTTTTAAGAGAAGGAACGTCATTTAATTTCAAAGGAAAAGATTTCTTTATTAATTCAGACATGACATGTGAGTCCAAAAATTTAATATATGTTATTACTTGCGGAGGATGCAACCAATTCTACATCGGTGAAACGGGGACCACATTGAGAGCCAGAATTCGCGTGCATAAACAGCATATTCAAGTTCCTGAGTACCGTAAGATCAAACTCAGCGAACACATTGATAGATGCGGACAAGGACAATTTAAAGTGTTCCCTTTTTATAAACTTTTTCAAGACAATATAACAGAAAGAAGAGAAAAAGAGAAATATTTCATTCAAAAACTTAACAGTTTGATTTAATTTGATTTCTGACAAAACTTTCACACAAAGTGTAACCTTTCAATGTTCTCCGGCTAAGAGTATAAACACATGTCGGATTTGGTTTCAAAGGTGTGAGCAAACTGCAAGCATTTAATTGTTTGTTGTCAGATTCAATTATAGATAATGATTTTTAAAGTATTAATAGTTTTGTAAGACATTGCAGTCAAGATAAAGTATGCATTTGTAAAACGTCTGAAGATGTAATGAAAGCGCTAACGTTTTAATCTGTGTTGCCTTTTTTATTTTAATTTTACCTATATATATATATATATATATATATATATATATATATATATATATATATATATATATATATATATATATATATATATATATTATTATATATATATATATATATATATATATATATATATTTTTATCATTTTTATCCTATTCCATTACCTTAAGCATAATTTGCACATAATAATTGGTAGTATTTTAATATGCTTATGACAGTTCCCAAATGATTTTTTGGGGGTTTCGGGTCAAATACAGCCGCCTTTGTATCCGTTTAATTTAAAACATACCTTTTTTTGTCTAGATACAGAAGCAGTGCACTTCATAGGATCATAGTATTGAGGAAACTTCGATTAATCTATGGTAGAATCATGCACATTTAAAACTATTCATGTGTACAAACAAATTCCCTTCAAAAGCATCGGGTTTTAAAGCTTAAGATAATGATTTTTAGATTATACGCACCTTTATCAGTAAATATTAAATGATATAAGGGTCATTTCTCGTACTGAAGCTCGCTAACTTTACGATTTGTTGCAAGAAAAATGTTTCCTTAATTAAGCGAAAACCAATGTGTTATTAAAAAGTGCGTTGAGCTGTATATGATAATTTGGCTGACATTTTGCATTTACATTTCGAATTAGAAATAATTCATTAATCTGAAACCATATTTCCATATTAGAATATCAAAATATGATTGTGTTTAAATGCATTATATACGTGTACCTGTAAATCCCACTCTGGCGCGTCTCTCCATGGGGTGTCAGCCTCTTCCTCTATTGGGCCATCTAAAATATACGTTACAATATTATGCTTCAAAAAAGTACTTGAATTGCTGCTAAGATGCTTTCATGAAGTTATCAATTTTGGGACTTAAAATTATGTTTTTCCAAAATAATTTCTAATCATTTTTGTCTTAAAATATATACATGCTACTAATTACTGATAATTTGAAACTCAATCTTTGTGGAGTGAATCAATCCTGCACTTAAATCATTTTGGACAGGCTAAAAAGTGCTAACAATCCCCCATCTCAAAATAGCAGAGTGTTATAACTGCTGCTAAAAAGCCTACTATGTGTTTTAATCACAATTCTTGCATCTTTATTGACGAAGAATACTTCTAGTAAAATTAGTAAGAGGTAGAATTATATTATATAGGTATAGAATTACATAGAATTATGAACGATAGAAAGATGAAAACTAATTCTATTAAAATGTATTTATTTTACCAAATTAACATCCAGGCTCAATATTTATATAAGATATATTTTGCCATTGAGAAAAATAACATTTATAAAGCTATAAATATTTGCTAACTAGTTAAAGCAATTGTTTTTTTTAAAAAAAGGGCACGAGACATTTTCCCCTAAGACAAATTGCCCAACAAATCAAAGTAAAACTGAACATAAAATACCGTTGTTTACTCAGTAGTGGGAATGAAAACAAATAAAGTTTTAATGAATTCAGCTTGCTAAATCAATTTGGTTACATATCGTGATTTAAATTGAATATTGTGTTTGATAATTCATTTATCAGATCAAAAAGTTATACTCTAAATAAAAAAGACAAGACAAAATACCCCTTGAAGCAGATTATAATGTAAAGAATTTTCTAATATAATATTGCATTTTATAATTCTGTTACTGAAGATCCAAAATTAAAATACACAAATTATTTGGAATAAAGTTGAAAAACACCTACATTTTCACGGATTGTAACCTACCTCTAAGTAGGTAGACCTCCAAGTCAGTGACGTTATTATGTCCATTTGATACAGACTTGGCTGTATCACCAGCTAGATTAAAGCCTTTGCCGGAAAATAAATTGGTAGTGGACAAGGGGAAATATCCTGATGAATTCCTCAAAAGCTCAGATTTTTCAATAGACCATAGACTACCAAATAGTGGTCCATATGTACTATGCCTAAAATAGTTGTCCCCACTTCCTGATAAGTATGGAAATTTCTTAGCATTCCACTTTCCTGCAGAGTATAATTTAAAGAGGAATGCATTTTGATCTATAGCCCAGTTACCAACACTCTCCCACATCTCGGAAAGATAACCTCCATAAACGTATTTATCTACATTATAAAACATTGTTACTGTAGGTCCCTTGTTGTCACACAGTTCGTGAAATTTCTGTGGTGTTCCTCCATCTCTGCTGATTTTATACAAAAGCTCAAACTGGCATTTTCTTCCAATCCATTCTGATAACTGATTTTTGTCTTTGTGCTTCAGTAAACCGTTCATCTTTATGCTTTATAGAAAAGAACAAACAAAATATAACATTAAGGACCTAAGATTTCCTAATATAGTCCTATATGTAAAACTTCGATCAGCCATTTTAGCCCCACCCTACCCCTGGAGGTCATGATATGAACAAACTGAAATTGACACTACCCGAGGATGATTCAACATGAATTTCATCTTTCCTGGCCCACTGGTTCTTTAGAAGAAGATTTTTAAAGATTTTTCCTATATATATTCCTATGTAAAACTTGGATCAGCCATTGTGGCCCCATCCTATCCCTGGGGGAAATGATTTTAACAAAATTGAATCAACACTACCTGAGAATGATTCAACATGAGTTTCATCTTTCCTGACCCAGTGGTTCTTGAGAAGAAGGTTTTAAAAGATTTTCCCTATATATTCCTATGTGAAACTTGGATCAACTATTGTGGCCTCACCCTACCCCCAGGGTCATGATTTGAACAAACATAAATCTACACTACCTGAGGATGATTCCACATGAGTTTCATCTTTCTTGGCCCAGTGGTTCTTGAGAAGAAGATTTTTAAAGATTTTTCCTATAGTATATATTCCTTTGTAAAACTTGGATCAGCTATTGTGGCCCCACCCTACCCCCAGGGGTCATGATTTGAACAAACTTGAATGTACACTACCTGAGTATGATTCCACATGAGTTTCATCATTCCTGGTCCAGTGGTTCTTGAGAAGAAGATTTTTTAAAAATGCCATTAATTTTTCACTAATTCATAATTATCTCCCCTTGGAAGAGGGCGTGGCCCTTCATTTGAACAAACTTGAATCCCCTTTATCTGAGGATACTTTGTGGCAAGTTTGGTTGAAATTAGCCCAGTGGTTCTTGAGGAGAAGATGAAAATGTGAAAAATTTACGCCGACGACCACGACAACAACGACTACAACGACGACAGACAACGGACAAATTTTGATCAGAAAAGATCACTTGAGCCTTCGGCTCAGGTGAGCTAAAAAGGAAGAAAAACATTCCGGAAGGAAAATAAACCCGATTTGGTCTGTAGGGAATGTGGATAGGGTGGTTGCCATTAACTTCCTATTCAAAGTTATAAGTACTTGAAATGGTCCACTATTATCGTTAAAATAATTGTTAAGCTTAATTGTTATATATCACAAATTAAACAAGAGGCCCTTCAGCCCATCGCTCACCTGAGTAGCTTTAACGATGCTGTTATTTAACAAAGGAAAATTTATAAATAAGAAAAACCAGACTTGAATTATTTTTAAATTAATTTATCGATCGGATAAAAGGATACTTCCCACAGTTACTTAAAATCTTGCTAGCGTAGGAATTAATAAATTTATTAACCTATGTATTGAATGTTTAGTCTCCGAAAAGTGCATGTTTATATCAGGGAAGTCATACTTAGTCCATATTTCAGTTAAAAATTATTTCCTTTCTCAAACGATAATATTTATCATTTCTGCCATTCTACAAAATATCAACTGATTATATATAAGGATTTTGCAAATGAAGAACGATGCCACTTAATGTATAAAATGGAATTATAAATAGGAATAAATGGATTCTACAATAAAGTTATGAATAGTCATAAAATGAGAATAATTTGACAACACAACTGATTTTCTTACCTACGATGCCTAAAAACAACTTTCGATTTAGATTGTAAATATCAGATCAAAGTATGGCGACCAAAATCCATCTTTAAACTATAAAGTTGACCGAGAAAAATATAGCATGTCAAACGTTGCAGCATTCGGTCTTTTCTAATTGCATTGTATAATTTCTATTAGTACTATAGCTATCATTTTTCATTTGCATTGTATAACATTTTTCACTTATATTGATGTAATTATCATTTTCATCGCTTTATTTGTATTACATATTTTCCATCTGTACTGTAAAAAAACACTTGAATTGTGTAATTTTCCCACTTGCTTTCACTACTTGTATTTTTCCATTTCTGTTCTACAATTTCCTATTTGTGTAATAGCAAATATTTTGTTTGTATTGGATTTTTTTTAAAAATTTCTATTCGATAATATTTCTTCTGTATTGTATTCAAAGATTGCTACCTTATTTTGTTATGATGAATTTAATGAGTCAAGATTGATCCTGCATCATGTTAAAATGAGCGAGAGGTGTTAGTTTTATGTAATACCCCCCGGTATGCTATTTTAAGAATAGAATCAAGTGTGAGTATTTTCCAAACATAAAACGACGTCGGAAATCGTTGGGGCCATACTTTTGTCCATAGTCTGTTTTATCCTTATATCTTTTGATAGAGAAGAGTTAGGACTCATATTTGACATGCGCAATGCCTGTGACAAGATGGTTCGGCACATGCTATAATTCCTTTGCATCTTGACCATGACTTTTGACTTTAATTAAAAAAAAACTTTATTGATTACATTTGTATGTCATGTTATTTGTATGTCGGATTTCACGTTTGACAAAATAGGCTATATAAAATGATGATATCTCATCCATTTAAGGGAGAGGAAATAAGCACCTCCTTCAAATTTACCTGGTCTTAGAACCCCTGTCAATCATCTGAAATTAAGCCCGGGATTGGATACTTTGATTTGATTGACATTTAGTTTGCTGCTGTTGTGTATATCTTGTGTACCTTGTTTTGGAGATCGTACCGACCATCGAATTAACTTTCAAGTAGGGTTTATCTTAAAAAGATATTTATTTAGACAATAATATTTCTACTTCAACATTTTATTCTCAAAACATCGTTTCTAAGTTTCATTGTTTTTTTTACCGAGAGACTGTTTTATAATTCACTTTCTTCTTTCGTCTTGTGCGTAGACGTTTACTTTTTTGACGACAGATTACAACGACAGATTTTGGTGCTAAATGTACTTTCGTTATAACACTTAATTAAGAAACACACAGTATATAAAAAATGTCGAATTATTTAAAATATCAATTATTTTTAAAGAAAGAAATTAAGAAGGATTCTGTCTGTAAAAAAATGCTTTATTTCGCATTTCAATTCATGAGCTAAACTTGAAAAAAAAATGACCTCCGTTTACAAAGTCGTGGGAAAACCAATACAGGTAATACACTCATGTAACATCCTGTGTATATAGGTAGTGTACACAAGCCAGCGTCGTTCCCTCGGGGATTCTCAGCCGCTTCGATTAAGCTCCACCCCACACCAAACTTACCTGAGGAAAACCGTACGGTTAAAAACCTCGGCCTTTAAGACACATACATGTAAAGCATTGAAATAAAACTCCTTACTTCGCGATGCTAAGGCAGACATTCTCTTCTCTCCTCCACTTTTTTGTGAGTTTGACTATTTTTTTTCTTACCGTACTTGATAAAATCTAGCGAAAGCGCAGGGAATAGAATTTTTACCACTACGCCAACAGAGCAACAAAAAAATTCCAATATCCTATACAATGGTTAGTGGTTTCTCTTGATGATTAATCCTCTGCTGCGACAGGGGTTGCGTTTCCTGTTATTGTTATTGAAATTTTAATATTAACATTAAATTTTCACGGAATTATTTATTTTTAAAAAAATAAATAATATGAAAGCATTTGTAATTAAATAAAGTTAAATAAGCCTATGAAACCCTATTTCTACCATACATTAATTATGAAATAATTTTATATACAGTACATGATTTTTAAATTCACTATCAAAATACTTTTTCTCATATTTTTTACTTGGAAAATTAGAACGTACGTATAAAATATCAAAAACGTTGTTCAAAAAACATCAGGTTTAAATGATCATTTTTAACATGTCCTATGTAAATCAGATTTAACCCCGCCTTTTGTTCAGAAAATAGCGGTATCTTTTAGCAATATAATTTCTAATTAAATACAAAATTAAGTCTTTTCTTCATTAGCACTTACAATATGTAATTACATGACTTTGGAAATAATGATTATCACTACCAAATTTGATTTTCAGTTTGCAGCCGATTGCGTCGGCCTTTTAGTTGCTTTCAATTGCCACAATAGTATGGTGAGTGTCTTCTACCTATTCTCACTTTAAAAAAAAAACCTACATGTATACTCCACCTATTCTCAGATAGATGATTTGATATAGTTATTATGTTTTTTCATTAATTAGACTAAAATTACATTTCATCTAAGATTTAACTATACGTTGAACATTTTAAGACAGAAAATAGATAGGCTTAACATAAGATTAATTATTTTACTTTAAGGGGGCGGTCTGAGGATTCCATTGCGCAATTTTTCGCGCATCACATTAAAAAGAAGCGTATTTAATGTTTTAAAGCATTTTTTCACTAAAGTAATATAACTAATAAAACAAAATTAAGAAATTTCAGGTTAAAAGTTTTTATTACAATTTTAAATAACTGTTTTAAAACGATTTTAAACCTTAAAGGTAGATTGATGTCGGGTTTTTGACGTTAAAAAAGATGCCGTTTTGAAAGAAGTGTAATAAAATGCTATTGAAGAATAAGTAATAAATGTATGCTTTTGAAATTCAAAACAATGAAGTTTGATGCAGTGTAATTTCTCCATCATATAATTAATAAAAAAAAAAAAAAAAAAAAAAATATATATATATATATATATATATATATATATATATATATATATATAAATATATATATATATATATATATATATATAAAGCACTAAAAATGACCAACGACACGAACAATAGAAATTGACAATTTCTATTGTTCGTGTCGTTGGTCATTTTTAGTGCTTTATATAAATTTCCATCCGTGACCTTGTATCTACTTGGTAGATCCGACATTTAGGATATACAGTGTTGTTGGTTTTTTAGTGCTTTTTATATATATATATATATATATATATATATATATATATATATATATATATATATATATATATATATATATATATATATATATATATATTTTTTATTCCCGAATACATCCTCAGTATTTATCAAATTTTGTAGTCTGAGTATTCTATAAAAAGAAGTAAATCCGTTATTTGGGGGTTAGGTGGGGTGATATGCCCCCTCTGGAAAAAAGTCGGTTTAATTTAGTGTTTCTTACATACATGTATAATGTATAATGTACAATATAGAGTTACTCATCATATATTATAGTTTGAGCAAAAAGTCTATTGCACTATTTGTATAATTTGATATAAATGGGCACTTATCCTTATAATCCTTTAGTCAATGTACATGTAGTTTGAGACGGTCCCTTGAAAATTCCTGGCTGTAGATATTCCATTACATTGGCGTGTACACTGAAGTCAAAATAAGGTTTATATGGTAAATAAATAAAAGGTTTCTCAATTGTAGTTTTCACACAATAAAACTCCAGTCGCCCCCCCCCCCTTGATATCGGTATATGGAGTTTACATTAAGAATTTAAATACAAATGTTACAAAAAAGAATACACGCTTTAATATATCAATTTCAAAAAGGAAAATATATGGAACAGTAGTTTTCAAGATGCATTTAAATGGGTGAATTAAGAAAATAATTAACGGGGAAAATAATGAGGAATTCAGTTTAAAATGGCCATTTTTTCCTTCAAACACATGGGAAAAAAGTCTGATTTGTAAATAAAAGAAGCATATTTACTTGTCCTATACTTCAAAAGTTGCTCATTCATCACTTTTTCTACAGTATCTAATTTTCAAAAAGTGGGAATAGGTAAAATAAACCGTAGAGTGTATGAATGATTTTTGTTTTCAAACCGTATCCCTGATATAGTAACATACCATGTATGTTTACCCACCTTGCCTCGAAGCTCCCAAATACACTACTTACAGGGCGTTAAAAGCAAATTTTTATACAGGTACTTGGGTCTTGGTTTATAAATATGTACCTTAATCATACGTAAGTAAGGTAAAGTGCATTTTTACATATCAATTAATAAGTTACATACACATTTATATAAAAATGAAAACTCATGTCCTTGTGAATTTTTACTCCTGCCTACCTCTGCCTTCACCCCCCCCCCCAAAAAAAAATCAATTTATCGAAAAATTGTACATTGTGTATAAGAGTATCTGATGAACAATATCAATAACACACATGTATCATAACAGATTTCACAATAAACCCCAATTAATCACATCACATGTTATTCTTTTTTTTTCTAAAGAGGGCGGGGCGTTGAGGTATATTTGCTTCCTATGGGGTTTTAAACAAAGTATATCCTTCCTTCTTTAAGCATGAAGGCTATCCGTGACAACTACAATTTATTTTCTAAGGATTAATTTAATTCCCCGCTATTGTATTTAAGACTTGACAAAGTTGATAATGTTAAGTATAGTGACATACTTTTCGTATAGTCACAAGTATAACATATTGGTAATACATGTATTATACTCTAAAAGTGGATGTTGCGTTTCTTTTGTATGATTGTTTAAAAGACTTTCAAGTTTTCAACCAACCTTAAACATTCCAATTCTTCCAATTTCTCCTTATAATTGAATAAAATTTTCTGTCCTACTTAGAAGTTTCAGTTGGTTTCTAATCATCACCAATTGCCCGTTTTGATAAAAATCACAATCATCAATCTGAAGGTATGACATTTCTTTATTTATATAAAGTCACTTAATAAAAGGAAAATTTCAAAACCCCACTGTTCTAATCTAATCTAATTGGAACATTGTTTAAATAAACAACAAATTACTTATACATAAGACCTGGACTCTTTACAGTTGACTTATTTTACGACATGCTATTTTGAAAGTTAGTCCTTCACATTCAGTTGTGTGGCACCTTTTTCTAACAGTTCACATTGGTTTTCCAAAAAATCGTTGGTAAATACCAAAGCTTGTTTTAAAGCATTCAATGCCAAAATGCTTACATCCGTCTCAAGACATCCCTCTCTCTCGTAGTTTTTCACCGGAAGAACATGAGCTTTTGGGATGGCGATGCTATCAGCAATGTTTTCAACCATTTCTTTTACAGCCTGGCTGTGAAATACTTCTTGTACGTTTTCATCAACTAAACTGCATACTTTATCAATCTTTGTCGCAAAAACTAATAAAGGAATGCCTGCAAAATGTGCGATACGAAATAATAATTTACCGGATTGTTAAAATCGATGGCATCAATAATTAAAATATTTCTTAGCTATTATCTATTTCCTATGCATATTATACAAAAAATCGAAGGATTATAAATAGAGAGCTCTTAAAAATAAAGTGAAATAACTTATTTTCGTGCTGATTTAATTTTCGTTGTTTTTGAGGTATGGGAATTCATCATCACCACAAAATGGTTTTTAACCACAAAATCAAATTCCAACAAACCAACATTTTCTCCTTAATTTGACCACAAAAAAATGTATAAGCCGTACTTTTTATATGTAAGAAAACTATGCTTACATGTATAAGTGAAATCAGTTGTTATTTGATCTACCTAATGATTAGTGTTGAATGAGTTTTCATAAGATCAGTTGTACCTCTATCAATTATCATTTCTCTGATGTCCATTAGTTTTTTTGAAATCCCTTCAGGAATAACATCAAATGTGCTTCCATCCAACACAAAGACTACCAAATGAATTTTATCCTTCAGGGTTGGATGTTTCTGGAATCCATTTATATCTGATGATGCTGCAGCCACAGGGTTAAACTGTCAATAATGCATTCTTGCACAATAAAGACTTTAGATGAAACATATTGAAAAAAGAACAGTATTCAGTATCTTAAGTCTATAAAACAATACAAAATAAGAACAGAGCAAACACTGACCTCTAAAACATCAGAGGTGGGATCAGGTGTCTAAATATCAATATCTACATGTATATGTTACACATGAATGTTTATTAAATTTCTTCCTTCATATTTATTATAGCGCAGTGTTTATCTTTATTATAGCGCAGTGTTTATCTTTTCTAATCAATTGTAAATAATTACTAATTTGAAGTTTAAAAATTAATAATGTTTGCAAGCTCAAAATAATTGAACCAAGACCTTGTAGTTATTTGGCAGATTCCCATCCAGGATGTAGACAATATCATCATTCTTAATACCCAGAGACTCTTCTAATCCTCGTGTGTCACACAGTCTGAATTTTAAGAAATTTCCAGAAGATTGGTCTCGAACTCGAAATTTGTTGAACTGTAAAATAAATGCATCTTAATGAACATTTTGAAAGATTGTTAAAAAGCAATGTTACGTCAAGTTATCCTTTTTTCATGAAAAGATGTGGCACATATTCTATCTTTGATATAATATACTTGTATAATGAACTTTTAAAATAAGTAGACCTATTTATTTCATGTTCCCTTGCACATGAAATTTAATATTTTCCACGATAAAATAATTGATACATGTTCCAAGTAGTTACATCAGATTCTTCACTGCATCGAGGAAATAAATGATTGTACATTTATACTATCAATATTAAAGAACAATGACTAAGTTTTGCTAGTTTGTCCCTTCTTGGAAGACGGAAACGCTTTTCTTTGAGCAATACACTGCATTTTTCTTCTTTTCTGCATTTTTTGCAGCTTCAAGCGAGAAAATAATAAACCTACAACCTAATATGCTGTTTTACTTTAATATTATCTCTGATTTGAAAAGACATTTAAATGTTAATTACAAATGGTTTAACTTGCACTTATTCAATGGCAAAAATGGCAAAGACTCACACATCCTGAACTATTTTCTACAAAACAAGTATAGTAATCAGACATACACTTGTTGTAAGACTGTGTTGGGAGCTTCCGGTCCAAGCACGTGATGAAATCTCTCCTCGAAAGATGGAGTTGATTGTATTCAACAAACTTGACTTGCCGGCACCAACATGACCAACGAGAAGAATGTTTACTTCAGAAACATTCGAATCCTTCAGCGGCGAAAACGATCTGATGGAATCCTTCAGAGTGTGAAGAGTCTGTGTATACAATAGAGATTTTCAACCAAACCAGCATTATTTTTTTCAATTGTTGTAATTTTTTAAGTTTCGATTTTAATGCTTTCTATTTTATATTACTACATTGAATGGATAAAAGTTCTTGCTCATATTTATTCGAGAATGTCATATTAAGTAAACGCAGTGATAATATTTTAGCTATAATGTTTTATTTGTATGATAATGCTATACTTTTAGTATATTTCAAAACCTGTTCTTCCCAAGCCGGCGACTGTCTCCATGACACTGGAAGTCCATCTATAGAAAAAAAACTATTTTTTTTTATTTCTTTCCTGATTTTAAAATGTTATTTCAACTTTCTCTGAGACTCTTTAGAAAATGCATAATATGGAGGTTTTTCATTTAATCCTTTATCTATATTTATGCTTATATACTTTTTTCAACTTAGTTTTAGGTCGTATAACATTTTGAGATGACTCATGTTTGATGTTTTATGTAAAGACCCCTTACGTGCCACCCTTAGTTCATTTTAAGTTCATGTATTTAAATTTATCAATTGTCCAACTGCAGACAAACCAAAAATTTTAAAGGATCCAGATTAGCTTATCTACTGGAACAATCTAAAAATCCTCTCTATATTATATTTAAAAGAAGAGAGAGAAAAGAACCCGAAAAGACAGTGCAAGCATACTTGTCAGTCATAATGAGAAAATCCTACAACATAAACATTTTACTTCTCACCTTTTATCAAATACACCTCCATGTCTGTCACATTGTTGTGTCCATTTGCTATGGACTGAGCATCCTCATTTTTTGAATCATAGTATCTACTTTCGAACATATTATCTGAATTTAAGGAAAAATTGCCTAAAGTGCTGTCCACCTTATTCTCAAAAGACATTAAATCTTCGAACTGTGGGCCATTACCGCTATCAAAATAAAGATTCGAAGTTTTTCCCCCTTTTAAAGGAAATATTTTGGGCTGCCATTTTGATATTGTGTACAGTTTGAATAAAAACGAATTTTTATCGGTGTACCATTCTCCTTCACTTTTCCAACTTTCCGACGCATATCCTCCGTACACATTATTGTCAGTGTTGTAGAAAATGGTCACCGTAGGGCCCTTGTTGTCACACAACTCATGGAACTTCTGAGGGGTACACCCGTCTCTGGATATTTTGTACAGCAGTTTAAAGTGACAATCTTTGCCGATCCATTCCGAAAGTTGTTTTTTGTCTCGGTTTATTAGGAGAGCTGCCATGCTTTTCTGAAATGGAATAAAGTAAAATATTGTGACCACTTGAAACTCAAATTTTCCTCTAATTGGCTATTATTTCCAGAATGGCAATCCACCCATCCACCGAATTCAAGAATATGTATCTAGAAACCGAATTAATTGTTTAAGCTGGTCTGCTCAGTCTTCAGAAAATGTTTGATTGCACATCAAACGAAAACTTCAGTTAGCTACTGCTGAAATAAAATCGAGAAACAATATGATTGAGGGAATTCGACGTATATGGACATTTGTTCTATACCTAATGCGTATCATGCAATTTAACTGTTGATTTCAGGCATTCACATGACGTTATGATCCGACTTTCCGGATCACCACACTGTGGTTTTCTGATTCCATATCACCACTCTCTGAAACTGACATGACGTTATTATTTTTTTTTTGCGCGTGTCATAAAGTTCCTTGTTGTTATGCATTGTTTTATAGATAGATATTATTAATTGATCTCTAAAGACTTATATTTGCTATATTTAGCTAGTTATCAGGGGATATATAATAAATATATTATTATAACATTAACTTGATCCGAAGAGTCGTATCATGTCGAGTTGACAGGCTTAGATCATCCGATCAAACGAGGCGCGATCGGATTCGGATCAAGTTACTGTTATAATGATATATATGTGTCACGCCTGTTTGCCATGAAAGCTTGTATGGTTCCATCCATTAGCGGATTCAAAATGTAACCAGACTTAAAGGACAAATTACGAAATATTAAATTGTAAGATTTCTTTATACTACTGGTGTGTGTGCAAACACGCTGCCGTTATGACCGAATACTTTCTCTAAGTGTCTGCATGTATATTCGCTGATTAAGATTGGTTTTATTTCAAAAATGGCAGCAATTATTGACTTACTAAAGTACATGTATATAATATACGTAAAAGTAATACATGATGTTTAAATGTTTTTCACTTCAATGATGTCGTTTTTTTTTTAATTCTGGGATCCTCGCCTTTGATGATCTATTTGATGTCATATTTTGTGCAAGGTGACCAACATACTGCAATAATAACAGAGATAGAAGAGACAAGTCTAAGTAACTATGATTCTTGTGAATGCTTTTTTGTTTGGTGTGTTTGTTTAAAATAAATATTATTATTTTGAAATTGCGATGTTTCCCAGACCACCAGCTTATTGATGACACCTTACTCTGGGACTTCATATCCGGGCTTTAAAAGCAGTTATCTCTCGTGATGATTAATAGCGTAGTATATGTACATCGAAAATATATATAATGTATATAGTGCAAGGTCGTGATTCTTGTAAGAGTACAGTAAAACAATAGAGGTCTTACCTTTCTCACAGACACAGTTCCTTTATCAATTCTATGAATTAAACTGCAGGTTTTCTTTCGTTTTATATTAAAAAAAAAAACTACGGTGTGTCGCTCGAATATAATTTAATCAATTTAGATATTTAAAGTTTGTTTAACTTATGTTGAAAGAAGTTAATACAAATTGAAGAGATATCGATAATTATTGTTACACTTAAACACGTTATTGTTAATAAAGGGAAAAAATGAATTAATATCAAATAACAACAGTTCTTTATGGTCATGGGTCTACTGTAATTTTTAAAGGGATTTAATTCCCTCATTTACTTTTTTTTTGCGTTTGAGTTCCTTATTTTAGTAAGTCGGATTTTTTATATTTAAAGCTTAAGGATTTTCTTTATACCACTTTTTGATTGTTAAGAATATAAATCAATAAAAAAAATTAAAAGATTAATAAAAAATTATAGATAAAAAAAAAATAAATCTTAAAGGAGAAAAGCTCTAACATTTTTTTTCACATTGTGACGAATTGTACATGTACAATTGTACAAATTTTTTTTTTTTTTTTTTTTTTTTTTTTACAAAATTAAACATATGATCACAAACACACAGAAGACAAAATAATAATAAATCAATAAAATGACGATAATTCTTAGCCAATCGGACCCTAACCGAAGGACAACTGGCATTACTCTAGCTAATAATACATGTACGTCACAGCGCACACATACATGTATCTACTTTTTCAGCATGTTCGAATTAAAAACTACTATATTGTTGGTAAAGAAATTCATTACACGTGTATCAGAGAATACTTTTGTTAATTTATGTACGTGTTATTTTTTTTGATATATATCTATGAAAAACTTTAACCTTAAACTAAATTCAAGATGTTCAAAAACTTCCTGAGTACTTTGAGTATGGCGGATAAGGAAACATTTATTAAATAATGTACTTTTCAATTGAATTTTTCACTTCTTCATGGAGTTTTTCATCCAATTTGACACCTTTTCTTTTTTGACATAAATTTTCTTTTCTATCCATTCATACACATATTAGATTTAAAAGGAAATCCATATACTACAAATAAATAATCTTTGGTGGAAGCGGCGTGTAGTTTTTAAAGTTGCTCCTTTTTTCAAATATGTTAGCCCTCTCCAACCCTAAAATAGTACATGTATGCGTGATTTAACCATTTAATGTCATATTTATTATATTTAAATATGACACTTAACATGTACGACATTTAATATTTTTAGAATGTCTTTTTCAACTAGTTTAAAGATTTGGTTTAATATGTATTTTTCTAAAAGTTTTCCGAACAATATTATTTTCTACTTTGTGTTTTACGTACATAAACAAGGTAATCTGTTCTTTCGTCAATATCTTGGCACCTTTAAAATAAAAGTGGACTGAGGTTCTTTCGGATGAAACTTTAAAAATCGAACCCCGATAAGATAATGATCCATCAATCCTTGATGCCATCAGTGCAGAGTAAATGTCTTAATTGAGCCCATAATCGGTACAAGTATATGGAGCAAAATTGAAATGAGTGAATGATTTTAGAATGAAATGTAAAATAATTTATATTAACCAATCAAGCATAAACGATACTGTTGATATTTCATAGCTTGTTATGTGAAAAAAATCGTTGGTAGAGGTTTAAAATACTAATTGATTAATGCTGTTGTTTATTTGATCAGTGTAAGACAAAATTGGTATAGATCTATGGACCCTTTCGGACCGTTAAAAGGGAAATAAAGTATCAAAAATAAGAGTTAGATATAGGATTAATCATCGAATACCAATCTAAAAGCCAAAGAAAGCATAAACTACAAGAAATATATCCTAAGTAAGCGACAAAAATTCGGCGGCGTAAATCGAAGGTTTTTACAACGCTTGAATCTGTAGCTTTCTGCTATATCTGTCCGGATTTTCTCAAGCAAAAAGATACAGTTCTGCAGCTATATAAATTTGTGTTTCATTTTGTGTTTGCAACAATACGTTTCAATGATTTTTTTTGTTGTTTTTGTTCCTATTTTATGTAGTGTTTTATGTACATATATTTTATTTTTCTGTTTTGACACACTGTATCAAACTTTCAAAATTTACATTAAAATTTTTCAGATATATATTTTTTTAGAATAAACGTATTGAAGAGAAAATATGTTCAATTCTCTATAAACTTATTTGGCTGTAAGAGGTCATAGCACAACCGAATCACATGGCTAGATTATATTTTACCGACATATTTCTGTGACAGTCCAACTGGATCGGGATATTTCTAAGTTAAGAGTGGTAAAAAAGATAAAATAATTGAAAAAATATACGGATATATTTTACAACAGATATACAACAGATCCTCTTTCGATGTGAAAAATGTTTTGAATACTATAATTAGTCTAAAGAAGCACATAACTTTTGAACCCAAAATTCCTTTGGATTATAAAACTAAAACAGGCGATACCACCGTTTTTGACCACAAATACTTTAAGAACTCATAAAATAGTAAGTTTATTCTCATATTCTCAGCAGCGATCATTGTTCTTTCATTATAAACAGATAATTCCTAAAACGGACTGATAAACATAAATGTTAACATTCAAATCTCGGAGTGAGGCGAACTTTCAAGACCAAACAACTTCTAGGTCTATTTAGTTAAACATCGATTTTTATTATTTTTTTTTTAAATTTATTTTGAATACCAAAACGAGACATATTTTTCTATATTATTCCTGTAGCATCACTTTTAAATGCTGCTGTTTTCTTTATTTGCATATACATGTAACATACGAGGGGTTATCAAAAAGTTCTTGGACTAGCATCATAAAACTAAAACCGCTTTAGGTACATCAATGAATTTTAAAGTATCTAGTTAGCATCATCTTTTTATATTCAAAGAATGAACCATAAATCAAAAATTTTATTTTTTTAATAAATTAGGAATGTTTTTGTAAGAAATGGTATGTCCAGGCGACGCAACCTCGAACACGACGTTTTTGCGACCTATGTGTAACTGAGAAAAACTCTTTTGATATGATCATTTGACATCTAAGAATCCCGTTAATTCAGTTATGTGTCGGGACACAATTGATCCATAAAATATGAAATTTTCACTTTATTCTAGAAGTTCTATGAAAGAAAGTGGGCGCACTAGATGGGCAGTCAGCATAATCATTGACACGAAACAATTCAGATTTAAATGTCCAAGCACCAAGTAGTTTTAATACATATCTTATACAATGAACCTAGAAACTTAACGGGAATGGACTTCCGTCTTATGTTTGTTTATTTGTAAATAATTTCTTTTTTCAATTACCGGTAAAAGGTGTCATGAAAGATAAATTATCTATGCTGGATACATTTAATAGAATATAATAGAAGTCTAACACTAAATAATTTTTGTGCTCAGTTTTCAAATGCACTGAGGATAATGAATGTAACAGAACGACCGAAGTTGCTAGATTTTTCTTATATAATTTATTCAATATTTTTTCATTAGGTGTAACTTTGTAGTTACAAGTTCTTGACGTTTATTTCTATCTGGGTACGTTAGCACTATAAATGACAAAATGTGAATGCATTGAAATATAAAACAATTAATGTATAATAATTTATAAAACATAATTTTGAAACTTTATTCAAGGAGTATTTTTTTACTACCAATTCAAAATTTTAAGCAAAAAGAAAAAAAAAAGAAAAAAAAAATCCTGTATTCGAACCTAAAATGCTGCTTCGATATGGCTCGAATCCAGCGACAAACCAATGTAGCTACCGCCGGACACTATCCATAGCTAGTATTTAAATCATTATTTAAAGCCAAAGTTCTATATAATTGGAATTATTTAATTTTCTAACAGAAAATAAATAGAAAAAAGTTAGATTTTGGTATTTCTGGGTCGTCTCTCCATATATTAAACAACTGGAATAAATTTTACTGTTAAAAATACACTGATAACGCATTTAAAATTCATGGAGAGAAGACCCAGAAACAACAAAATTACTGAAAAACGATTATAAAAGAGTCAATTTTTGCATCATTTGACTCGTATGGCTATATTCAGGTGTATATTCAAATAAAACCAAACATATTTAACTGAAAATTTGCCAATTTTACAATCACCTACGACACAATCATTGGCCAGGTTTTTAGATAAAAAATGTATAACTACAATTTGCTCCATGCATGGTTTGTGCAAGAAATATGCCATACTGTAAACCAACTTTTATTCGCGACGACTTTATTTCGCGATCTACCGGGGATAAACTAGTTCGCGGCGATTAATTTTCGCGAGAAAGCCTATTTAGGTTACTTTTTAATAGACACATAGACTTTAAGAACCGGTTCGCGGCGAGAAATATTCGCGATGACGAGGCTCTCGCGAACTTCGCGAAAAATTCTCGCACGCGAATAAAAGTTGGTTTACAGTATTCTAGGGCCACTGACGACCACTAATATCCAAGTGATCACGTATCGTGATTAAGGTATATTTCAATCAGTATATTTCTAAGGCTATTGTATTTATATACCTTGAATTTAAACAAAAAACACATTTGCGGTAACAAATAAAAAGTCTTGACGGTATAATAATTATCTTTCTAAAAAATTGAAAAGTCTGTCCGTTTCATTAAATTTACTAAGGATGTCCCCTATAGTTTTTCAGATTCTTCTTGTGAAAGTCCCTTCTTTAGTTTTCATTTTATAGCAAATTTTATATCTTTTCTTCTGCTGTTTTCTTTTTCATTTACTTCTAGTATATGCAATATTTCTGGACGATAAATTTTTTCGCTTAAAAGAAAATCCTCTAGATCGCCATGTTTCCATATAAATTCATCACGTTCTTCTAAATCCTCACATAGTTTTTTGAATCCCTTTTCAACTGCCATAAATTCTCCTATAGGCTTTTCTTTAAATTCACCAAAACCTTGCAATTCTTTTACGCCTTCAATGAGATCGCCGTACACATCAACTCGAGCGTCTCGATCTCGAAGAATACTACAGGGTAAATGTATTTCCTTGCAAACATTATGAACATCTAAAGCGTTCTTGCTACCTCTGAGTTGAATAATCTGGTGGCTTAAAATTTGATGC